TTGGGTATTCAGGTCAGTTTTTTAATCTATAGTTCAATCGGGTTGTTCACCTCCATGACCTCTATGGGTGCGCCTCTCTTCACAGAAACCATTGTATATGTAGAGGTTGTAAATATTATCGGGACTATGATATGGTGCTTCCTTGGTGGCTTTTCTTCATGAATTGGTGATTTTTTCATTTTCACGGGAACGTTCCATAAGGTATCATTTTTTCTCTTTCCCACAGCATACAAGAAATGCAGATTACGGCATTTATCCCCATTGTACTTGTTTCTTGTGCGAGTATGTTGAGATTCACGGGTGTAGGCCAATCCATTGTTATCTCTAAAACCCAATCAAAACCAATAGGTTTTTTGTCAAAATTTTTGTCAAAACTTTTTTTTAGAAATATGTATCGGGATCATGGTTCTTCTGTGAATGCATATCGTGCTGTGTCTATAGAGCCCGCTCGATACAATGGACACCTTAGGGTGAGTGTTTGGTTTTTTCCCCAGTTAGAAATTAATAGATGTCCCTGTCAAACATGTAACACTCGTAAACTAGAAGGAAAGTTTTTACCTCCCTCGTGGTTCGTAGAGATTTATTGAGGGTGAGTTTAGAAGAACCATGATCCTTATCGTGTCGCATACATTATTTTAAAATGAATTTTTTGCTCTCTTTAGAAAAGTGTGTTTTTAATAACAAGTTGCATTCGTGGAGAGATTACCCAAGAAGAGTTACTGCAAGCCATGCTACAAATTATGTCAGCGGTCTCTTTCTACTTTGCTAGGCGTCAAGTTTTTTAATTGCCATACACATTGTAATAAATATTTTAATAAACATTATTTAATCTTGTACGCATGCGTAAAGAATTACATGTGTCACACATACCACAACCCCCGAAACCAGTTACCATTCCCCTTTTAAGTTAAAAAAAAACAAAAAAACAAAAAAAAACAAAAAAAAAAAAAAAAAAACCAAAAACAAGAACTACGCATGCGCATTTTTTTAGGTTACCACATGGATCGGAAAGATCGAAACGTGACATATATATATTCTCATTCGAACCTAATATACTTTTAGGTTGTCAGGGTGATAATGATGACGTCATAGGATCAAAAAGTCAATACTCCTCACTAGAATTGATGACGTCATAGGTCAGGCTGTTATGGTGATAATGATGACGTCATAGGATCAAAAAGTCAATACTCCTCACTAGAACTGATGACGTCATAGGTCAGGTTGTTATGGTGATAGGGATGACGTCATAGGATCAAAAAGTCAATTCTCCTCACTAGAATTGATGACGTCATCATTTACGTCATAGGTCAGGTTGGGAGAATTCGAAAAAATCAGCCCTGAGTGAGCGGATACCACTACTGAAATCCATTGAAGAAGATACAACGAAAAGGTCAGTATGAAAACAACACAACCACATGTTTAGTTTCAATTATGGAACCGAGATATTGATGATGCCATAATTTAATATTTCTACTGCCATGTTTGAGAGTTGTTATTGTTCTCGTGATCTTTAAAAACCTGTTTCCTATCAATAACAAACAAGCCAAGTAGTCAACTACAAAAGTTTGTAAAAGAATGTTAAAACAAGTGGACAAGATAAAAATTTGTATGCTTATGCTTATTTTATGGCGGATAGCAGTAATGTAATGTATGTTATTGTTTTTCCATTGGTAGGAATAGAATGGCTACAGCAGGCAATGATGATGACAAGGTAGAGGTGGATGAAGAAGATGAAGAGGCTGAAGAGGGTGGAGACTTGGACACAGCTCACAAACTTTTCATGAAAAAAGCCAATGGACAAAAGAAAAAGAAACCAGGTTGAAAAGCCAAGTGGTGTCCACAGGCACTTGATGATCTCATCGATATCATTGTGAGTAACAGCTCATATAAAAAGAAACTTATTTTCACAAATACAAAGAATCAGAGAAATGGAGAGCTCTATGGAGAAATTTTGAAAGAAGTTAAAGCCAGAGCTTCTGCTAGAGGTGAACACTTCAATTTCTCTGCGAATCAATTGCGAAGCAAGTTCAAAAAATGTGTCTTTGTGTAAGCAGGCAGCCCTGACACAAAAATCTGCAACTGGAATCAAACGATTTCAAGAAGATCAAGGATTAGGCAAGTGTTTCACCACTCTCTTTGAAGTGGTGAAGACAAGGGAATCTTGCCAGCCCAATTTGGCACTAGAGCCTTCAGCTTCAAGTTCACCTAGTGATTTGTCTATGGAAATCTCAGATAACAGTGTCAAGGAAAAAAAACTATTTGTTCTCATAAAAACAAAAAGAAGGCAGTTGTCTAAAAAGAGACTGGATTCAGCAATAACAGAGGTATTGACCCTTGTAAGAGAGGCTGTTCAAAACGACCCCGCCAAAGAACTGATATCATTCATGAAAGAAAAAATGGAAAAATCCCGAGAGCATGAGCTTAGATTGTTTTAGCTTTTGCTCAGCCACAGATCTACTGCCAGCCTTAATAGCACACCTTATTCTGGAAATGAACACAACCCACACAATGGAAATCTTGGCTATTACCCAAGCTTGCATAATGCCGCACAAGGTCCCTTAAGTCATCCAGGTCCGAGGATGTCTGAATGGTCATTTGGAGCCTCCTACCCTAACGCGATGGGACTAGACAAAAGGGACTATACTGGACTGGACTGTCATGTTCATTACTTTTTTGCACATTTGTTTAATGAAATTATTGCTCTGTCACTGTTGATATTATAAATGTTTAAAAAAAAAGAAAGAAACATGTGAAATCAATAGTTAATGTTTTGCAGGAAGCTTCTGAATAAGGTTAGCTGAAGGAACTGTTACTGCTATAAAAAGTCTATGATGCAATCCATGGAAATTTCCCCTTACATCAAAAGTTTCATACATTAAAAAAGAACCTAGTTATTAATACAAAGAGGAAAACAACAACAGTTCAACTCAGTTTCAAAATAAACAATAGTTTTAATATTGCAAATGCATTTTTGAAAATGGATCAATGTAGAGAATTGTTTCCCTCTTTACAGCATATCTTCAGCTAGTGATATTATTATAACCAGTATGGGTTGTTTTTAATCAACATCTTATATTATTACTCATATTTCAATGATCAATGATTAGAATGTTTTACAAATTCTAAGTGTAACAAAGAACATCAAAAGCAATGCCCTAGACACTGACAGTCAAAACAACTTCCTGTAAACTCAGACATGAAAATCCTATAATCATTTTGAGTGTGGGGCTATTATGCAATGTAATAGACTTCTATCATAAATGGTGGGACCGGCCTATTGTTATTCTTTTATATGCTAGCCTTCCTAGTCTCGTCAACATGTGTAACAATACTAGAATTTTCATTCAAAATCGGGACCAGGAAGGCTTATTTGCATGTACACAAAAGGATGGTAATAATGCCTGCCATTTATGAAAAAGGTGACTATGAAATAATTCTAGAGAGTAACTTTCTTCAACTACAGTTTGCAGTAGTTGTTGTCCAAAATAGTATCAAACTCATGGTTTCTGTTTCATGGCCCAAAGGAAATCACTTTACCCTGTCTTGTACAATCTGGTTAAAAAGTCTATGATTTAAAAATAACCTTAATAGACAGGTTTGTTGCATCTTTTTAAAATACTCTAGCATACTACATCAGATCAAACAAAAGCCATACCACCACTTCCATGGTATCAGGGATACTCACAAGTTCCCCATTATCAAATACACATAAAACTGACTGAATGTTTTGCAACTGCTCTGCTATTTCAGCCAAACTAGCAGATTGGTAGCAATTTTGCTGTAAGTTTGTGCAAAGTGGATACTACATGCATGAATAGTAATAATAGCAATAATGAGTTTTTTAGGGTTTACGAAACTTTCCCCATTTGCTTCTCTAGCCATAATTTCTCACAGAGTGCATCTCTGATTCTGGCTGCCTCCCGAGAAGCATCCCTTATGCTTAGACAGTCTCTCATCTGCAGCAACTTTCTCAATTCGTCCCTGTTCCTCTTTCCACCACTTTCATCAAGAGACAAATCAAGCTTCCTTTCATTTTTCCTGAATAGGACCCTCTACCTCCCCTTAAGTTGACCATATGCAGCTTCTGTGACCATGCACGTTCTAGACAAGCGATAGTTGAAGTAATGCTGCTGAGGTGTCAATACAGCATTGGTATATGGTTTCAGTAGCCAAGAACGAAGGGGAAATGCAGAGTCTCCAACAATGAGAGGCGGAACAGTAACATCCCTCACAGTTTTGCCAATCATTGGAATAAAACCTTCTTTTATCGAGTTCCAGAGGTCCATTGAACAAAAAATTACAGCATCATGTGAGTTACCCGGGAAGCCTCAGCTGCCCCATAAAAACCTTAAATGGGAATCTACCAGCCCCATTAGTACTATGGAAAATAGAGGGAAAAAGATCTTCATATTTATACCGAGTCAAGGTCTGTATTTATTTGAACTGTTACTTAAATTAACAAAACCCTTACATATCCTATTTAACCTTTTCTCTTCAAATGGTACACGTGTCTTGTATTAACATAATTCTAGTTATGCCTGGTTTTCTGTAAAACTTGTCTTTATGCTTGGTAAGTTCACCTTTCCTGCAGCATGGCAGTTCCAAGCACAAATTAATAAGAAATTAGCAAACCTCAGGACAGTAAAAACGTTCAAGGGTCATTTGTAATCGTATCAACTTGAGAATAGTCATTTTTCCAAATATTAACCAAATAACAGATGCCAACTATATCAAACTGCATCCCCATATACTTGCAAGAATCTTATAAAGGCCACTTTTTACTCTCCTGTATCAAATTTCAGAGGAATTCATTGAAAAGCTTTGCATTAATGGATGAGAAACAACATTGTCACTGACAACCATAGAAAGCCAAAACACCAGCATCAAGAACAGTCATGTGCATGACTACTGCATTTTTCCAAATTTTAACCAACTAACAGAAGCCAACTATATCAAATTACATCCACATATACCTGCAAGATTCTTCTAAAGGCCAATTTTTAGTCTTCTGCATCAAATTTGTAAACACTTTTCATAATTGCATCCATAAACTGTTCTATCCCTACGGCTATGCAATATTTCATTCTTTTACCTATGCTCACTTTACCGCCAACATCTACAGCCACTTCAACATCTTCATCATCCACAGTCACCTTACCATCAACATGTACAGCCACTTCCACATCTTCATTATCCACACTCAATTTACCACTAACATCTGCAGCCACTTCAACATCTTCATCATCTTCAATCAGTTTACCACCAACATCTACAGCCACTTGAACATCTTTACCATCCAGTCACCTTACATCCAACATCTGCAGCCACTTCAACATCTTCACCATACAGTCACCTTACCACCAACATCTACAGCTACTTCAACATCATCATCCAGTCACCTTACCACCAAAACAGCCACTTTCACATCCTCATCAAATACAGTCAATTTGCCCCCAACATCTACAGCCATTACAACATATTCATCATCCACAGTCACCTTACTGCCAACATCTATAGCCACTTTAACGTCTTCATCATCCACAATCAATTTACCACCAACATCTACAGCTACTTCAAAATCTACATTATCCTTAGTCACTTTACCTCCAACATCTACAGCTACTTCAACATCTTCATCATCCATGGTCACTTTACGGTCAACATCTACAGCTACTTCAACATCTTGACCCCCCACAGTCACCTTACCATTAACATCTGCAACTACTTCAACATCATCATCATCCATGGTCACTTTACTGCCTACATCTACAGCCACTTCAACATCTTCACCATCCACAGTCACCTTACCGCCAATATCTGCAGCCACTTTATTATCTTTACCATCCACAGTCACCTTACTGCCAACATCTACAGCCACTGTTACATCTTCATCATCCACAGTCATTTCGCCTGCAACATCTACAGCCACTTCAACATCTTCATCATCCACAGTCAATTTAACATCTGCATCATCCACAGTCAATTTACCACCAACATCTATAACTACTTCAAAAACTCCATCATTTACTGTCACTTTACCTCCAGCATCTCTATCCACTGCCTGTTAGTTTCGAAACGCTTAGTTACTACACACTCTATAAACATTTTTGTTCTGGTTCATTTTTATCATGCCTTTCGTCAGTTAATGATTATTAAACAATAAGTTTGTTATCTCCAATCAATTCCCATTTAGTACAGGTGTAAGATTCTATTTCAATCATCACTATTAAATCATTGTTACAAAATCATCACTGCTAGATAATCGCTATCGTCAGGAGCTAGACCAAAGTCTTCATTTCTTTGACATTTACAATGTTTACCTTTTGTCTGTGTTATTGGTGTAGTTCTCGCATGCAGTTTTCTGTGTAATCGCTTTATTTTTAGCTAGTTTAATGTTACATTTTGCTTCACATTTTTCTTAGTTTAGTTTCTGTTGTATTTTCTTTTAGTTTGAACCACACACAACTTCAATCGCAACTTCCACTATAAAAAAGTACTTAATTCCTAGCACTATCATTTAAAATTCATAACATCATTTAACGTACTATGTGCATTCCAATTGTCTGCTCAGCCACTTGGGAAACCTTTTGAGGTTATCCTTGTTCGAATTTGATAAATCTCCTGTTAAGGACACCTGCCAGAAGGCTCATTTTCATTGAATCGATTATTGATTAGTTCACTAATTTTAGAATGATCTTAGATACGTACATAGTTGCAACCTTTCTGTTTTTTCTGCATTTCTATTGGTTTTGTAATCAGACCTTTCGGTGTCACCACGCACATATTAAAGATTAGTTTAGCGTCCCTTTCATCAGTTCTTCTTAAGTTTTGAGTTGTCTTGACAAACTTTTCCTCTTTCTCATTTTCTCAATCTTTGGCACGAGTGGGACCAATATGTGAGTACTTTTGTAACTTTGTTTTTTCTGGTCTACCTCTTGAGTGCTGGGCAATAATATACGAACAGATATTCCATTGTATTCCAGTATTCACGATTGATTTTAGATTTAAAGGCCAAAATTGTACCAAAAGCAAGTGAACGCCCACCATCTAGATAAGAACAATGGGCTGTTATCCAGCCACCTAAAATTCTTGTAATTTGTATCGAAACTTTTGTACTTTGTACTGTTTTACTTGCATTGCTCTTTGTCATTTTAAATCTCTTTATCGATGTCTAGGCCAAGTTCTTTACACGCGATTCTTTGATTATGCTTTCCACAACATTTTCATTATATGGATAGAGCTTCATTGCATTGTTGTTTCAATTAACAATCGATCGATTGATTGATTGTGCAATTGATCGTGATTCTTCATCTTTGATTGTGGTTCATGGTTGATTTTTTTTCAAGAATAAAGGTGCGTGCAAACAGTCAACTTTGGTTTGTTATCTCGACCTGTAAAATAGTCCCTGACACCTCGTTAACCGCATTTTGGAGCGACACCCCTCAGAACTGGAGACACTAGACTTTTTGGGTAATTGCAAACGCTAAATCTCCAGTTATTCTTAAATCTACACGTTGTGGTTCGAGGTTTTAGGCAAAGTTCTTGAAGAAATGGCCGATTGCTGCATCATACCTTCAAGCCGGATTCCACATGTGGAAGTTCACAACGTGACGGACAGACAGTTATGTAACAAGCGATCACATCCTCAGGAAATCGATTTAAAAAATAAAATCATAAGCTCATCAATTTCTAGCTATATGATGCCATCTGAATGGAAAAGAGCTAAGGTAACTCCAATCTACAAATCTGGAGATAGGAGCGACCCAAATAGCTATAACCCAATCTCAGTTCTTCGGTTAATTCCTAAAATAATGGAACATCCAATTCAATTTCAGCTTGTGGCTTTTCTTACAAAAAACAGTTCCTTGGCAGTACATCAATCAGGATTCCGGAAGAAACATTCCACTGAAACTGTTACTGTATACTTTATTGACCGCATCTTAGAACAAATGGATAAGCAGAGGATTACTGGGTCCATTTTCATAGATCTAAAAAAACCATTTGACCTGGTGGACCACCACTGTCTGTGGCATAAACTAGAACATTATGGAATTACTGGGAACAGTCTGAAATTGTTTGAAGATTACCTTACTACTCGAAGACAGAAAGTCAAGTACAACCAAGACATGTCATCCAGTTTAACTATGTGGTCCCCCAAGGATCTATACTGGGCCCGATTTTCTTTGTGGTATACATCAACAATCTCCCGCAAAGCCTGCTAAAGTTATCAATAGGCATGTGCACTGACGATACGGTTATCTACTTTTCTGACTCCAGCACAGAAATCATCAAGTAGGTTTTACAAAATGTCCTGAACAATGTCGAGAAATGGTTAGCAAGCAACAGGCTCGACCTTAATCAGAATAAGACTAAATGGATGCTGTTTGGTACTAAACAAAACCTAGAACATTGTTTAGACCACAGAGCACAACTCAATGGGAAAGAAATTGAAAGAGTATCAAGCTTTTGTTACTTAGGGGTTACACTAGATGAGAATCTCTCATAGAATGAGTATGTAGAACTAAATGGTAACTAAGTGAGCAAGCGTCTCAGCCTGCTGTCCCGCATACAACCTTTCCTCACCGTAAAAGCTGCTAAATGTTTGTATAATAGTTTAGTACAGCCGATATTTGATTAAACTGATATGGCATGGGGTGGGTTGTCAATCGGATGCAGTAACAGCTTGCAACGTCTACAAAACAGGGCAGCACACATAAAACAAGGGAAGGCAATGACTGAAGAAGCGTTTAAAATGTTAGGATGGGTCAATTTTGAAACACAAAGAAAAGCCCACAAATGTATCTTAGTTTTTAAATGTCTAAATGACTTAGTTACTCCATATTTATCGAGTTATTTCATTAGAAATCACACTATTCACACCTACGCAACAAGACAAAGGAATGACATCCACCTACCGCACCCAAAGTTAACGTTTGGGAAAAATACATTCAGATTTTTGGGCACAGTTCTTTTTAATGACTTACCCACACAAGTAAAAGAAGCCACGTTGCTTTTTATTGTTAAGAACTCTCTTAGTTTTCTATTTATATAATACTTAGAAATGCTTTAATTGCTTTTTTTTTAATTGTACTGATCTAAAAAAGTTGTACTTCATAGATATGTAATTTCCTTTCTCTCAAATTTTCTCTCAAACTCCTTTGTACATGATTTTAAGGTAATTTGCACATTTTAAAATTTTAATCATGTAGTCTTAATTTTACGCAGAGCACCTTTTGATACCAGCCTACAGCTGATGGGGCCACCCTGCTCTCACTTTGCCAGAGCCAGAAGTTCCAACCTTTAGTGGCAGCCCTATTGAGTATAAGTCTTTTGTAGGAGATTTCAAGAGCCTAATCAAGAGTAAAAAAACCAGTAGCCCTGTTTGTCTGTATTACTTAGTTCAATATGCCTCAGGCAAAGCGCGCAAGTTAATGAAGAGTTGTCTACCTATGAAACTCAAGGATGGATATCAAGAGGCGCACACTCTGCTGAAGGACAAAGTTATCATATCGCTACTGTGTACGTTGAAAGGCTCACCAATAGACCACCCATCAAAGCCAAAGACAGTATTACATTATGTCAATTCTCAGTTCTTCTCACTGGATGTACGAACACCCTTAGTGAGAACACTAAGAATGATCGTCAACAGTCTTCCCTACAGCCTAAAGTTGAAATGGCATGATGTTACAGACAGCATCACCGAAATCCAGGAGAGGGATCACGATCAAGGCATTAAAGGGCTTTGTTTAGGCCAAAGCGAGAGTAGCCCCTCAAACTATATTCAGTAACGTATCGAGTCATCCTCCAACGCCACTATCTATGAAAGAGATGCCTTCCCCTTTGTGACATGTGTCATCATACAAAATGCAAGCCCGCTCCAGTCAGGTGAACAAAAAAGCCAGCAAGAAACACATCCAAATCATATGTCTGCTTCGTAATTCAAACCACTGGCCCTCACAATGCATCAATTTCAAGGCTAAATCTCTCAATGGTGGCTCAAATTTGCTCATTCCAAAGACCTCTGCATCAATTGTCTCATCCATGGCCATACTGTTATTTCCTGCCCCAAGGCAAGTTTTTGTCAAGTGACTGGATGTAAGGGAGTTCATTTGAGCTATCTTCATCCCCGCAATGCACCTGCTGCAACTGGGCTGGATTCTGCACCTGTCAGGACCAACCCCTCAGGTAAACCCAGCAACAAAGCATTGAATGGCTGAAAAAAGACGATGGTCACTGTGGTGAAAATGACAGAAAATTTGTGTGCGCAGTCAGATTAGCACTACTGCCTTTTAAAGTCTAATCACCAGGTCTCGGCCAGATCATGGAAAGATACGCGTTTTTGGATAATGGTTCCAATACTTCTTTCTGTTCAGAGGAACTCATTGAAGAACTTGGCATTGAGGGCGTGAAACAACAACAGCATCAAGTGCTAAGCAGTTGACAATGAGGTGATGGATCTTAAAGAAGAAACTCTAGCCGAATTGCTATAAGTGTTCACCAGACCACATCTACCCATCACAGTAAAGAGTGCGGGTAACCAAGGGGATGTAGACCGTTGGCCACAACTTGTAGGAATAAAAATCTCCAAAATCAATGAAAACGTGGGTTTGCTCATATGGAATGATGCCCATGAAATTCTTCAGCCAAAAGAAGTGAGGGAATCCTGTCATAATGGTCCCTATGCGACCCAGATGGTATTAGGTCACTGAACTAGATGACCAGTTCCAAAAGTCCTACAACATGGAGTTCAACTACTCTGTTTATGGTAGAAAACCTTTATTGTCACAGAATGACAAACATGCTCTGGAAATAATACAAGACACTGCCACTTTGCCAGATGGCCACAACACAATGGCTCTCCCATGGAAGGACTATCCACCCTGTCTTGAGAACAACAGAAGCCTTGTTGAACACAGGCTCAGATTGTTGAAGAAGCGTCTGTTGAAAGATTCAGATTTGCAAGTAAAGTACATAGCCTGTATACAAGACCTCCTTCAGAAGGGACATGCAAAGAAGGCCCCGTCTATCGGTATTCCAGGAAGAACTTGATACCTTCCCCTTCATGCTGTTTTCCACCCAGCCAGGCCAGGAAATATTTGCATCGTTTTCAACTCTTCTGCTAGACACTGTGGAAGTTCTTTGAATGACAAGCTCTTACAGGGGCTGGACCTCACGAACTCCCTGGTTGGAGTGCTGACTTGTTTCCAACAGGAGGCAGTTGCTCTCTTGGCAGTTGTTGGGACCATGTCGCATCAAGTCAATGAGGTTCCTGAAGACTGTAATCCCTTACAATTCCTTTGGTGGCCAAATGGAGACCTAAAAGAACTGATGATGACAGTGCACCTATATGGCGGGGTCTCATTCCTGGCTGTGCTAATTTCACACTCAAGAAAGCGGCAGAAGATAATCGACCGAGCTTCCATCCACAGACTGTTCACACTATAGTGTAATTTCTACGTACATGACTTTCGGAAATCTGTAGCGACAGATGAAAGTGCTATCTGTCTTACGAGAGAACTTAGGAAGCTTCTGTCACAGGACAAATGCTCTTATTTCAGTGCCTTTAGGCAAAACCTAGAGCATCCCTGAAGGTTGACTTAAGCTTTAGGTGTCTCTTAGTGTAAACCAAAATATCCAAAAGCTAACAGTTACCTTTCATGAATCTTTAATTGAACATAAGGTGAACTTTAATAACGTACATTTTTTAGCATCTTTAAGTGGTCTCTTTTTTGGCACAAAAGAGGGTTTTTAATTAATATTCATTTAATTTACCTTTGAGGTGA